ACTTACCCCAAATGAGCTTCCACTAGCGACTGAAGATTTATGAATTATGATAGACTCCCCAACCTGCTGCACTGAAAATCTATGCACAAGCTTGCCCTCCCAGAAAACGTTATGTTGATCATCCACTGTCATTCTGTATTGAAACCATCCTCGCAGCTTAAGTAATTGCCTCCATAGCCAAGAACCGATCATATTAGGTTTCAACTCCCCTATTGAACACGACTTCAACCTATAGCGCCTCACCATGCCACCCATAGCTCCCCCTGCATAAAAAGCAACCACAAGAGACGAGCTATGCAGGCAGCATTCCATGTTCTAAGATCACACTAGCCCATGCCGCCCATTTTCTTTGGTGTAGCCAGTAAGTCTCGGGAAACCTTCGCTTTCCCTGTGCCATCCCCATACCACAAGAAGTCCGAAAAAATCTTCTGAATACACTCAATAACCTTCTTGGGCAGAATGAAGATAGCCATCCAATACTGACATAGAGAATATAGGACATAAGAGACATGTTGAAGCAATCCCGCGTAGGATAACTTACCAGCCCTCCATGTCCTGATTCGACTTGTCAATTTATCTACCAGGATTGCACATTCTGTGCTAGTAAACTTGCCAAAAATCAAAGGTAAACCAAGATAACAGACAGACAAATGACCTTCTTTAAAACTAGTGAGAAGTAAACCATTCGACTTGTATTGGATTGCCTAACCACCCCAAAACTCACCAATAAAATTCCTCAAGTAAGCTTTTAACTCTGCTCAAAGAAAGGGAGACTGAGATATTGAGCCGCTGCATCCAGTAAACCAATTAATGGTTCTAGAGCAATAGTAACCAGGTAGGGGGGAAGTGGATCCCCCAGCCTGACCCCTTTCTTTGCTTTAAAATGTTCAAAAAGAACTCCAAAAACACTCACACTGAAGAAAGTAGTAATTAGACAAGCACAAATCCAATCAATATAAGTCTGAGGGAAATCAATAGCCTTCATTATCATGAAAATATACTCTCAATCAACAGAGTCAAAAGCCTTCTGTAAATCAATCTTTACCGAACTCCTAGAGGCTATATTCCTATTTGAGTAGTTCTGAACCATCTCTTGAGCCATTAAAATGTTAGCAAAAATACTTCTTCCTTTTATAAATGCTAACTGGTTTAGACTGATGACACTAGGGAACACTTGTCGAATTCTATTTGCTAAGACTTTCGAAGCAATCTTATAGAAAATATTTATACAAGCAATTGGTCTACAACTTGTCAATCGATCTGTATTCGAAGTCTTAGGAGCTATAGTCAAGGAAGCATTGTTCATACCTCGTGGAATGGTTTTGGTAGATAAAAATTCTTGAATGTCAGTGGATACATCCATACCAATTACCTCCCAACACTTTTGATAAAAGCCAACTGACTAACCATTAGAGCCAGAAGCCTTGGCAGGTAGGGGTGGCAATTTCGACCTCACCCGAATTACCCGACCTGTTTGGCCTGTTTTGGGACGGGTATGATCCGTCCCGTAGGCGGGGCAGGCATGCGTACTTCTCATCAACCCTACCTGCCCTGACCCGCCCCATTTTCGACCCGTTCTTGCCTAAATTACATGTAATCTTAGTCAAATTACTTAGGATTTTCCTCTTAATACATCATAATTTAGGTATAATAAAGTTGTAAATAAGTGAAAACCTCAATTTCTCCAATAATAACTACATTTTATCAAATAATGGTAACTATTTTGGTCTTTTAATTAGAATAACGAATAATTTTAATGTTTTTCGCATAAATTATAAACCCATTGGGTCGACCTGCCCCTACCTGTACCTCATGATTAATTACCCGACCTGGACCCGACCTGCCACCGGGTGGGTATGGGTATCGAGATAACCGCCCCGGACCATCCCCATTGCCACTCCTATTGGCAGGGTCCATTGAGTATAGTGCAGCTCGAATCTCCTCATTGGTAACTGGCTCACAAAGCAGACGCCTCTATGGTCAATTTAGTTTCTATCACACAAGCTGCTATGCAACAAACTGGGGAGTGATTTCTTTATTTGGTCCCCATACAACATTTTATAAAAACCTACTGCCTCCTCAACTATCTGTTCTGTTTAATAATTGTCTGACCAGACTCTAGTACCAAGTGTCGATCTTCTTTCTGCCCGTTCTTACCTTCATAGATTTATGAAAAAATGCAGAGTTAGAATCACCCAATGACAGCCACTGAATCCTTGATTTATGGTGGCAGAAACTCTCCTCAGCTGCATGTAATTGGTGATAACGTGTTGTTGCTAGTTTTTCCTCCTCATAACTTGTAACAGAAGGTTCCTCAAGAGCCAACAGTTGCTTCTTTTTCATCTCTTGCTCAACTTCTCTCACTCTTCCAAAGATATATGAAAAGTCTTCCTTATTTAAAACTTTCAGTTCCTTCTTAAGCTTGATCAACTTCCTTTTAAATATTTGAATCGGAGACCCCCCAACCTGCTCACCCCAACATCCTATCAAGATGGTCTAGAACTTCTCATGAGAAAGTCACATGTTATAAAATCTAAAAGGCTTTGGAAATGACTTCCTCACAACCTTAGGATGCATTAGTATGCCACAATGGTATGATAATAGTGGTGCTAAAAACTCTATCGTGGAATCTGGCAGCCTATCAATCCAAGTATCATTTATAAGCAATCTGTCAAGTTTTCTAGCAATCTGATTACCTTGTTGTTGTTCGACTAGGTAAAGAAAGGACCAGAGGCTTGATTATTCACTAGCTCCATGTCCTCTACCCAGTCTCTAAACGCCATCATACTACTTGTAATAGAAATCCCATTTGAAGCTTCCATAGGAAATTAAGAACCGCATTGAAGTCCCCACCCACTATCCAAGGAAATCCTTGCACACACCATCTTCCCAATGTGCGAAAAGTAGTAAGCCTCTCACCTTTCTCGTTAGATGAATAGATCATTGTTAAGAAAAACTGTTCCGTGCTAGAAACAAATACCAAAGAATGAATAAAGAAAGAACTCTTTGCAACCAGTTGCACACTTGACTTCCATGCTAACCAAATTCTGCCCAGTTTATTATGAGTAGAATTATCTCCAAATTTAAAATCTACAAACTTCTCTCTAATTTGCTATGCCTTCTTCTCCTGAACCCTTGTTTCTAGAATTGCCAGGATTACTATTCCATACTTCCGCACGCACTCCAAAATGGAGCTATGCTTGGAGGGGTTATTAAAACCCCTCGCATTCCATATGAGTATTGTCATTTCTTCAAAGCGGGCACCAAAGGCACCCCCTTCCGACTCCTTAAACCTTCACGACTTGGTTTTACTGGTGGTTTTTGCAACTGTATTTCGGTTCCTCGTGCACAAATCGCAACAAAAGAGTTTGGTAAGTTCAGAGGTGTAATAATACTTGGAGACTTTGGTTTACTTCCGTTCACAACAATATTAGACTTTTCCTTCAATGGTAACACACTAGGCGTAACTAGCGGTGTTTCCTTCAACTCTAGTATCTTCTCAGGAATAGGTTCAGGTGCAGCCACTTAATGCCTCTTCTCCTGACACTTGATTATGTTCAACCCAGACTTACTAGTCTCCATATTCTCATGATTACCCCTTCAGAGCCTCATAATCATGCCCAAAAAGATCGCAAACACTAAAAACCGCAGGCACGTGAAATACTCCACACTAATAAACATTTCCTTCATAGAATCAGGAGTGATACTAATCTTAGCTGGCCACTTTGTTCTCACATTCATCTCAACTCAGATCCTGGCCGCCCCAACCTTATGTCCAAATCTGGTAGGTTGATCCATAGAGAGTGGGTTTGCCAAGAACACTGACCACTCGCCCTAACCCCTCTTTCGATGAAAGCTCCCTTGGTAGCCCAGACAATTTCACCAAAATTAGCACTGCAGAATTATTGATGTCCAACGCCTGACTCCCTAGCACCCATTTCCTCACACATAACATGTTAGCCTTGTAGTGCCATGGGCCTCCCTAAATCACCCACCTACAAACCTTCAAAGACAGGAACTGCAACAATACCAGACGATCCTCAAACCAGGAGACCTTGATTTCGCCCTCCTGCCCCCACAGCCAGTTAGCCCGGAATCGAATTGTTGCTTAGGATGGAGGAGACGAAATGGAGAGACGAAAAGGGTGAGACGAAAAGGGTAATTATTTTCGAATTGGGCGGGTGAACCGATTTGCCCTCTATACCCGGATTCTTTCCCTTTCCAATGTGGGTTGTAGAACCTAATTGCGTTATTAATGCCCAATGAACGGTTGTGTTTAATCCTCTCCATTGGATTATACTAATGCAAACAGACGTATTCTAAGAGGGTTGTCGAAAACCAGATACTCTAAGGGGTACTCAAGCTAACCAAACCCCCAATTTATGGGAAAGTTATGTATATTTCACGGATCATGCATGTGTAAAGATGCCTAAGCCTTCACGTGCCACATTTATGGTCGCTGTAAGGTTAACAAAAAATTAGCAACAATTACCGGGAGGGAAAAATACTTAGCAACTGCAATTGACTTGCAGGGTTCTCTTGGAGCCTGTAGTGCGGTATTGGAACAAGTAATTAACTGGCCAGATTCAAAATATTAACAAATATTAATAATTGGGTTCGGCTCCCTCCCGGGACATCGATTTCTGACCTTGCCATCCAGTTCCCGTACCACGCGCTCTCTTCCTGCGACGACTTCACGTGACAAATTTAGATAGGAAAGATAGTACGTTGTTATCCATGAACTGGCTTTAGGTGACCAATTGCTAAACAGAAGACAGAAGATGAATCAGTATTAATTTATCTCGATCGAGAAAAGAAGCGACTAACTATTATAACATGTGACAAAAGATTGATTGGTCGCCTATGGGCTACGGTCACGGAATCTCCACTGCATGGAATCTTCACAGAAAAGCAAGCCTTAATTATATAGTGCAGCCGTAGCTCTCGCAGCCTAGCTACGAAATCTAAGAAGGAACAAAGCCATCATATTCTCCATAGCCATGTTTTGCAACATTATTCTTCTTGACCAAAACTGGTATTACCGCCTTCCGTCAATCTTGGCGTCATCCTTCACCATAGCATTTCTGCTTCATTACCTCATCCGGAGGTTTGGCCGGCATCACGGCCGTGACCCGCCAAGCCCACCGGGTCTCCCCATAATCGGCCACCTTCACCTCATCGGCTCCTCATTCCCCAAATCCTTCCAGGCCTTGGCCTGCCGCTACGGCCCACTAATCCGGGTCCGCTTGGGCTCCGAGGCTTATCTCGTCGCTTCCAGCTCGGCCGTCGCGGAAGAGATCTTAAAGACCAACGACGCTTGCTTCCTCTCCAAGTTCGAAACCGGTCCGACCCACTTCAACATATATCGGGGGACCGGGTTCATCACCGGCCCGCACGGGGACTACTGGCGGTTCATGAGGAAGCTGTGCGTGACCCGTCTCTTCGGCGGGGCCCAGTTTGACCGGTTCAACACCATACGGGAGCAGGAGCTGGCCAAGCTGGTCAAATCTTTGATGAAGTGGTCGGAGGAAGGCCGGGCGTGTGATTTGAACGTCGAGCTCGAGACTCTGGCCAACAATGTGGTCTGCAAGATGATGATGAGGAGGAGATTCCTGCTGAGCGACCGCCGATGTAAGGAGATGAGGAGGATGGTGTCGGAGATCATGGACATCGCCGGGAAGTTCGGGGTCAACGGGCTTTTCGGGGTGCTCAGGAAGGTTGACTTGTTTGGGTATGGGAGGAAGCTTCAAGAGGCGCTTTGGCGGTACGACGATGTGTTGGAGGAGATAATGAAGGACTATGAGGAGAATTCATTTGGGAGTAGTCGTACTAGTGGTGTCGAGGCGGAAGGAGACAAGGATGTAATGGATATTTTGTTGGAGACTTACAGAGATGAGAATGCTCAAGTGAAGTTGACAAGAAAACAAATCAAGCATTTCATTATCGTAAGCTTTCTTTCCATTCGATCACATTCATCTTCCAGTTATAGATATATCGAGAAATATGTTACACACGTCGGTTTTCAAAAACTAAATCCTGACTCCGCCCCTATGATACAGGAATTGCTTATGGCGAGCATTGACACTTCAGCAGCAACCCTACAATGGGCAATGGCGGAGTTGATTAACCGTCCCAACATATTCAAGAAGCTAAGGGAGGAGATCGATTCGATCACAGGGGTGGATAGACTGGTTAAAGAGTCAGACGTCCAAAATTTGCCATACTTGCGAGCCTTGGTCAAGGAATCGCTAAGACTCCACACGGCAGCACCAATGATACCTCGAGAATGCAGCCAAGACTGCAAGATCAATGGTTTCAATGTGAAGTCCAAAACTCGGGTCTTGATCAACGCCTATGCCATAATGAGGGACCCGGACATGTGGGAGGATCCAGACAAGTTCATGCCAGAAAGGTTCTTGCTTGGTGGTGATGATGGTCATGATTTCAGGTTCCTGCCATTTGGGGGAGGGAGGAGAGGATGCATTGGCTATACGCATGTTTATATGATAATGCACACGACAATGGCGGCGTTGGTTCAGTGCTTTGATTGGAAGGTCAAGGATGGAGAACACGTTGATATAAGTGTGGCATTAGGTTTCACCGGAGCCATGACACCTCCTCTCCTTTGTTATCCTACTGCACGGTTTCACCCATTCTAATTAATGAAATGATGATTTTATATGTGGTATTTTATAATAGAGATCAAGAATTACATATCTAATTATTTTGAAATTTTGTTAAGTTGTTAAGTTGTCTTCAAATGATTTGTATCTAAATTAAATGCTAAATTTGACTATGGGTGCTAGGAATATGCGGATATTTTATAAAAATCACTACAAGAAGCCATTGATTTAGCGGGTTTAATCAAATTTGGAGTAGTCGACGGAAAATGTTCGGGTTTCAGAGAAAAACTCCCATGTTCAGCTGACCGCCAATAAAATTTCATACAAAATAAATAAGAAATCAAAGATATTATCTCATTCTCCCGTAATCTATTTTCTATGTCATCTCGTCTCAATCCTTTGCTTTCTTTCGAGATCTCCAAATTTGAAACCATAAAGATTTCTTTGAAGGCCAAATTCATAAATTTTGATTTTTTTCTCTCCAAGGCGTTGAGTTCCTTGCAATATGCGGATGCAATCCTTTTGTTCGCATTCTTTAGAGGTGAAACTTGAGTTGTTTTTCCTGATGATGTTCACCCAACTACGAGATCAGTGATTCTATTCAATAACGCAATCACTGTGGTGGTCGGTAAGACCACGATGATCAAGAGCATTCTTTGGATCAAGCAAAACTTGCACAACGCAATTTATACAGTAGATGAAGCTACAATATCAGTCCAATAGATTGGCGTTGTATAGGGAAACTCCACCAGAAAATGTCCGAACTAAAACTAAAACTAAAACCTCGGCTACTTTGGATGAGAAGAACGGAAGAAGGTGTTGTATAGGAAAGCTCTGCTAGAGTTTAGACTTGCTTTTACCGATACTGGGAGGATATGAGCTATTTGATTCTTGCAAGATTTATTCTTACCTTGTGTCATGGCGTTTGCCATATCTAGTAGTTTGGACCCTACAGAGTCCTCTTTTAAGGTGTCACACATTTTAATAGATTGATGATCGATTGTGAAGGACGGTCGTGTCCAGTCACGCAGTTTTTAAAAAGTCTATATCGAATGAGATAATAGATTTATGCTTTTTCAAGCAATTGAATTGACAATAAATCGAACATAGGAATAAAATATAAGAAGAAGTGATTGCAAAATTCATATATACCAAGAATCAATCAAACATATTTACAAAATCTAAAGAAGCTCTACAGTTCGCAGACCTACATAACTAAAGAACTAGCCGCTATTGGGAATATATAGAAATGTGGCAGAACATCAGTCAAAGGCGAGGCTCCCAAAACAGCCTAAAATTGATGGTCAAGTAGGAAAGTTGGCACATGGGGCACCAATTCTGCCGCCGATACGCCCTTGTTTTTTGCTCAATTTATGGGTTTAGGGAGTTGTTGTGTCAGCAGAGTAACCTCTTTGTAAACTTGTATATGCGACTACTAAGGGGTCTATTTATACACTCATCTATAAGGTTTATTAGGAGAGAAAGTAGAGTAAAATATCCTTTAGCAAAATCCTTTAGGTTTATCTCAAGCTAAGCCTCAAGTATGGCATATTCTCTCGAATTCGGGCTGATCTGGGACACTCTCCAAAAACTGTGTCTGAGGCGCCAATTTATATCTCAACCTGTCAGAATCCTATGCAAATTTATGGGCTTCACCCAAAATGCGTTTTTAGCTTCCAGGACTAGCCTTGATGTCTCCCACTTGTTCAAGGTGGTAAACTAGGATACTTTGGTTTGAAACACACATGAACCACTATCAGTATTGCATCAAAATAATAAAAGTAATCATAGAAGCTACTGAACATATCTTTGAGTGAATAGCAGGAATTTTCAAGCAATGATGACACTAAAGATGTCAAAACTAAGCAACATCTGCCATAAAATAGGGGTATAAAATAGTAATTTCTAAGTGTCATCAAATATCTCACTCTTGAACTTTGCTTTTTCCCAAGCATACCAAACTCACAATCATACAAATCACTAGATCTCTACAATGACACGTAACTTTCGATCGTAGGTAGTGGATCATAAGTAGCTTACAAGGTCAACTCTCACACTTAGATAACCATACCACATCGTTGAGGTGCATATCTTGTACAGATAATCTGGACAATAACCATCAATCATAAGCACTTCACTCAACTTGAGAGTTTAAAAATGTATCAGGTGAAGCTTTTTGTAATCTCTTTTTTGACGTTTAAGCACATCTCTATCCTTGTTTGAGAATGAGAGGTTCCAATTTCTCTATTTTGAATTGCATGCCGATTTTTGTACTTTTTTTTTAGCACAAGTGGGTGTTTTTGTCTCTTACTACGTGATCAAGTAGAGCTAGCAATTTTGTGTCTTAGTACTTTATTCGAGCCTAATTGTACATGTTTGGCCCCGTTTTCCTTAGTCATTTGTGGCAACTTCTCTCCTAAAAGGTTGGTTTTACGCTAGGTTTCTCGTGTTTTAGCGTGTTTCAGGATTTAATAGGTGAAACCAGCCTCAGAGTCGAAAGTTGGATGAAAAGGATCGAAAACTGGGAGAAGAGGTGAAAAATGGCGAGATCACGGTTTTCTTGGGTTGTCCACGATCTTACATTATCGTGAAGAAGAGCCATTGGTCTTGAACCTTGAGGCGTCCAGAGCCAAAATGCAAGTTACTAACGCAAAACATGTTCACGGTCACTAAGACCGTGAATAGGAGCTGTGGACCGTGAACACAAGGAAGCAAAATGGTGCGTTTCGGCGCCCAATTGAATTTCACGGACGCGTTTCAGTGTTCACGGCCGTAAACATAGCTTGTTCCCTGTTTAAAAGCTGAGCTGAAAGGAAGAGAGAGAGAGAGAGAGAGAGAGAGAGAGAGAGAGAGAGAGAGAGAGAGAGAGAGAGAGGGCCCATTTGAGTGAGAAAGCCTTCTTCTGATTTCTAGAGAGAGAAACACAAACCAAAGAAGGAGGCTAGGGTTTTGCTCCAAGGTGGATTTTGGAAAGATTTCCTCCAAGGAAAGTTCAACACAAGGGCCAAGAAGATTGGAAACCTCCTCCAAGATGATTTCTACCCCTTTCCTTGTGTTTCTCCCATCTCTAGCATGGAGTAGAATTCTTTTCACTTGGGTGTTGTAAAACCATAACTCTGCCATGTAGTTTTCTTTTATGTGAATTGAATGATTGTAATTGGGTATTGTTTAATCCAAATGTTTGAGGTATTATTCATCTTGATTGTGCATGTTTGTGCTTAGCATCCTTAGGTTTGTGCATGTCTATACTTAGCATCCTAAGGATTGTGCATGTTTATGCTTAGCAATCTAATTAGCCACTTAACCTAGTCTAGAGAGGGAAACCCCCCCCCCCCTTCCAAGGGAGTCTCAATCGAGTTGGTATTAGGGCTTTTTAAGTCTTCTAACTAGGTTAATTTAGGGAAAACCTCAATATTGGATTAAGTAATTTGGTTAAGCGCGATTAAGCCGACCAACCCTTGGGTTGAGTGAGGGAGTAAGTCAACCATTGATTGCCTAAACCGAGAGGGCCTAGTGACATCCTATAATGCATGCCTCGGTTTAGCAATCGTGAGCATGGTCTATGACCATATTTGCGTCCCCTAGCGGTTAGCGATCACCTTGCCCATAGTAATCATTTCGGTTCACATACCATGGTAGTAGTTAGGGGGAAGCGACACCCGAGTGATCCTTCCACAAAAGAGCTTTCAAAACCATTCACCTTTGTCTTGTTTTACTATAATTAGCAAACTTTTCAACCAAAACCTTATTGCTAGATAATGATCCAAATGACTGAAGTAGGGGTAGACGAACCGGCTCGGGTTGATATTTAAACATACTTATCCTATACTGCACCTGACCAAGGTTTATAGTTGGACCGTAGGCGGGAAATTATTGTGGTATTCGGGACGAGTCAGTAATAACATAAGGGCTTTATTTAACACCTTATCCTTGATCTGTATGGAGAGGCAATGCTATGGAGGGGGGGGGGGGGGGTCAGAAGCTTTATCTGTGTACTCTAAGCACAATTCTCAAACAACACATCCCTCAACGAGGGATTGTACTTGATAAGCAACATTATGCAGCCGTGAACTCGATGCTCAATTGAAACTTTCATATTTCGCCTTTGAAATGATTGATTTCATCACATATTGGCATTCATTTTACCCCATACTTTATTGTAAATGAAGTGTTCTTTATTCCTCTTGGCGGGGAGGATTTTTTGTTTATAAGATATTGTTCATCCAAATGAAAAATCTTTTAAGAAGAGAGACACACTGGAAGAATTTAAGAAATCATGAAGGATAGTGATAAGCATTGGATCCAGACATATTGAGTGGTCTTTAGTCTCATGACGAGGACATCATTCATAACCACTACACTAGCCTCCCTAGACCACGTTTCAACATAGAGAGTAGCAATTCAAGTAAGACGAGCTTTGGAATTGCGAAAGGGAGTGTGGCATTATTTCAAATTTCAAAATTATAAAGCACGATGAACACACAACTTTCACTCAATTGCATAGATAAAATCAGCTTCTACATGGTATATGCATGAAGTGCAATCTACTAAACTCACCCAATACTTTAAATAGGATAATGTCCTCATTGTCCCAAGCAAAGCAAAAGGATAAAACATAACAAATGTACATCGGTCGTTGTTCGAATCCATGTAAAATCGGCTAGTCTGTCTTGATTCATGGTAATTTAAACAAAAAACAAAATAAACTGAAAAAAGGAGAGAAAGTAGTTCCTCTCATCGACCTATGTAATTCAACATAGACGGATTGCTTAACAGAATTCTATGACGCTGAAAAGTCGGGCACTTGACTTGGCCGCTATGGAGGAGGCGTCTCATAGCCCAGAATCTCTCCTATGCAAGCATCAAATTCAAAGCTAGCTTATGCTAGACAGTGGTTGCAGAAAGCAAGGCATGACATAGTTACATAAAAGGTCATGTTGTTTATTAGATGAGTACTACTTTGGCTGATCAACGTCCGATCTTGCATTGTTGTTTTGAATGAGCAATATAATGATGAAATTAGGCCTTCATCATCC